CCTGAAACTAAAAATATACCTTAACTTAATTGCACTTCCTCACTTGAAACTGAACTTGATTAAATATAGATATTTTAGAATTCATTTGACGACATAGTTTACGAGAAATATTTCACTAAAAGCCAGTATAAATCGACCAGATGACATTCATTAAAAAGCCAACCGCTGCCCTGTCGTCTGAACATACGAAAATATTCTTTTGCACAGCAGGTAGTGAATGAGTAACACACTCCTGCTTTCAAAAGCAAGATCAAAAGACATTTTGAAAATATTGGCAGATCGTAGCTGCACTTGTGTACAGTTGGTTTTTTTTCCACTGTCTTATATGCTTTTCTAATTCAATGTTTTGATTATTCCTATCGTCTGCATCTTCCAAGTGTTTTTGTTAAATCTTTTACCTCCCTTTTGTTTGTGCATTTGTTACGTTGATAATTATTTTCTCTAAAATACATCCGGGGCGGTTCATACCTACTTTTACTATCAGTAACAATTGTCTCTCTAAACTAGAATCTTATGTAATGGATCCAGTTTACAAACGGGTAATAATGAATATGAACCCACCAAAATGGCCACTCTTTGATCATTTTGACCCAAATCAGTAGGCAGCCATAAAGTAGAGTAATTAACCAAGGAATTCGAATACAATTGATGGCTATAAAAATCTATGCGGGCATATGACGTTGCATGATCAATAATATCCCCGTCTATCATCTGTGGATACATTAATATACATCTTATTAAATGGCGAAGGGATTAAATATCTTCTGACCTTTTTAAAATCAATTCATTCCAAGCAAGGCGATAATGTCACTAAGACGCAGAAGGTTACTTGGAATGAAAGAGAATGAGAAAACTTTAGAAGGAACCGGAAATAAATCCTAAACAGGAAAAAAGGGTTAAATCTCTACTTTTGTTAAGATAGAAAAAAAAAACGGGGAGGAAGGTGAACCAGACGATAGACGATAGACGAATCTATATGGTCTTATTGAGAAAAAAATAATTAAAATATGAAAAATATATAGTAAATAAAATTTCAGAACTTAGGTGGATATATTAGAAGTATGGATTTAAAGTAGACTTTAGATGAAAGTGGAAGCCTAATCCTAAATTTTAAACTAGGAATAAATATCTAATCCTGTTAAAAAAGAAACAAAAAAAAAAAAACAGTGAGGAGTATTAACCGGACGATAAACGGATATATCTACTCCTATTGAGGACACACACACAAATACACATACACATATATATATATATATACATATATATATATATTTATTTATTAAAGACATTTTTATGTTTAACGTTGTTATTTATAGATACAAGTATTTAAGAAAATGCTCTGTTTATGATAAACAGTATTAAATAACATTTACCGGTCTGAATGTCCGAGAAATTTTCATAGAAAATATTCGTTCAGCGTAAATGACGGTTCCGTATAGGATGCAGGTTCGAATCCTGTCAAAGAACGAATATTTTCTATGAAAATTTCTCGGACATTCAGGCCGGTAAATGTTATTTAATACTGTTTATCATAAACAGAGCATTTGCTTAAATACTTGTATCTATAAATAACAACGTTAAACATAAAAATGTCTTTAATAAATAAATTGTCGGACCTTGTCCATTTCTTAATATATATATATATATATATATTAAATAAAATTTCAGAGTTTAGGAGGATGCGTTAAAAATATAGAGTTGAAGTAGATTTTTAGAAGGATCTGGAAGCCTAATCCCAAATTGGGAACTAGGAATAAACATCTACTCCTGTTAAAAAAACGGCGTAGAGTATTAACCGATTGATAGACAGACCTATCTACTCGTATTGAAGAAAAATATATATATATATATATATATATATATAGATAGATAGATAGATATAGATATATATATTATAAATTCATGAATCATTCAAACAAAAAACAAATATAGAGGTTAATGATTTAAATGGCGAGAATACATCTTCGCAAACAATATAAATAAGATACATCAACCCCGAACCTGTATATGAATGATATGATCCCTGTTCATAAATTCCAGTTGCATAAGGTCTTTTTAATTTTTACAAGCTTTCGTCTGTTCCTACAGACATCTTCAGGTATGGAAATAGATTTTATTCTTGTTTTTACTTCTCGGTAATAAGAGGACAACGAAAATAGAGATGTAATCCGAAAAAATGCTATGAGAAATGTGTTATTGTTTTGGAACGTGCGGTCGCAAAGCTGAGTTTGAATTTAAATTTTAAGGCTGTGCTTTTTTTGTACAAAAGAGAATTCTTTTTTACTGGTAGATTTTCCGTCTATGTAGCATAAACTATATTGTTCAATAATTACAGTAATGTCACACTTATTATCCGAAATTATTATTATTATTTTTGTATGAATTATTCAAGAATTTATAAATTATAATTTGCACCTTTAATTGAAATTAAAATAACTGATCCAACGTGCAATTCTCGGATAATAAGTATGACATTACTGTAATTATTGAACAATATAGTTCATTACATCTCATTTTCTCAGATCGATGTGATCTTCCTTGATGTCGCTGTCTTCATCATTACATTCTATAATGTAAAATGTTATGTCAGATCGTTAAACACTACACTAGAGTTTCCTTAATAAACCAACCCTAATGATTCAGCATCCTTGTATCCCCTGGGAACCGATAACGCTACCCTGGTTAAGAACGACTATAAACGATGAACGAGATGACTGTCAGAAAATTATCATGTGAAACACGTCTGGCCTGTGATCTGCTAAACGTTCACCTTAAAATTTAAAATTCTTCCCCTGCCATTCGATAATCATATAACATCTTTAATTATATGAGCTTAGCAGGTGAACAAAGCTACATAAGAATTCAAGTGTCTATTTGTGCTAATTATGGATTCAAGCATTTCAGGCATGGCGTTTTGTGTAAATTTGTAACGAGCAAAATTTACTTATCTTCGCCATGTTTTATCGATTTATGGAATATCATTTACAACCTCTTATTTAATTTAATTTAAAATTTCTTATCAATTTAATAAAATTACAGGCCTATTCTATAGATAATCTCCGGCGTTGTACACGATACTTGAGTAATGTGGATTTTATGAATAAAAAATATTTCTGGACAGATTTTGATTTCGTTTACTGAGACGGTTATGTTTTGTGGTGTCAACGAACACTCGTTGTCACTTTCGTAAATGCTCGTTGTAGTAGAGACTATGTAATCGCAGATACAACTATAGTAACGCCGTTGAACAATACTGGTGTCAGACGAATAACACTCGACCTAATAGTACTTGAATAGAATAGATAATACTCGCTCGAATAGTAACAATCGAATAGTAATCCGTGTAGTGATCGGTATAGAGAAATAGCAAGAGAAGAGTATAGAGAATAGCGATCAGTATAGTAATAGAGGATAGAACAGATATGATGATCAATTAGACGCCACGCTAATTCCCATATATACATTTCCTTTAATATCACGTGATTTACTTATTCAAAATGGGATCGCTTGTGCTTGCTCTTGGTGATCTGTGTTCAAACCCAAGTGTCGGTAGCGACACTTTATTCCTATATAAATATGAATATAAAATTCAAGGCAAGGATTTCAGCGTTAAATTTTAAAAATGAAGAATTCATTACCAGGTTTGCAATTGGCATATAGGCTTGCCATAATCTTTCAATTGTTTCCAATCGTTTTTCTATAGTCTATTGCATTTAATTTCCAAACTAAAGAACAAAATTATATGTCTATATCTCTGAGATGAAGTATGATGATTGCTTATATTATTATTTATATTTTTCGCACTCTTATCCTCATTTCCATTGCTATATTCACAATGTTTCGGCCGTTGTTTGTTGTTCATGGCCCAGTGGGCCCAGTGCCTAGACCCAAAGAGTTGTGAGTTCAATACCGGGCCACAGCAGTGGTAAACCAAAAAAATTGGAGAGTTGAATTAAAGGGAAGTAACTTAGACATCCAAAACTGGAACAATCTACATCGGTGGACGAAATAAAGGGTTCAGTTCAAAATTCCAGTCACCTGAAAAAGGCCAGGACGTACAACGGCCGAAACGTTGTGAATATGGCAATGAAGATGAAGATAACAGTCCGAAAAATGTAAATAATGTAAGTGTACAAAATAATGTTTTCAGAAGTAAATATGAGCCGAAACAGATTGAGATGGAGAATCTTAAACAGATAGAGCGTTTCTGGTTTCTAGGATTAAGGAGTTATTATTTACAGGTAAACTAATATCTTCATCTTGTTAGCGCAGTGTGTCGGTCGTTGTGCTCTCCGACCTTGTTCCGTTGTTTTTGTAGGGAGATCTTGTCTTGTTCTTATTTACTACGACACAGTTTTTGATTGTCCAGTTTACAATGGGTCCGATTCCGTACTCACTTTGCCCGGGAAATTAGATTAACAATTATGATGAGAAATTCCAAATCAAAAAACCAGTGCTTTAATCCATTAGACTACTATACAGTAAGATAGATAGATAGATAGATAGATAGATAGATAGATAGATAGATAGATAGATAAAATGAAACAAGTGAATAAGAAAGAGAGATGAACAGACTTATATATATATATATATATATGTATGTATGCATGTATGTATGTATGTATGTATGTATGTATGTGTGTGTGTGTAGAGAGAGAGAGAGAGACAGACAGACAGAAAGACAGAAATGAAACGATGAAGAGAGACAGATGAACAGACTTACATAGATAGATAGTGTTGTGGTACGATCCACCTAATTTACATAGTGGAGTACCGACCATATAAATATGGGTTGGTACCGGGAAGACGAGGGAAGTAACAAGAGATCCAATCCAGAGACTCTGCCCGACTGCGATTAAGTCAACCCATTCTACAGGAACAGTCTTCCCAAGAATATACCAAAACTAACTGTAAATATTGTGTACCTTTTCCTTGTTGCAATACATTTTGTTTACGTACATTTTGTGTTGTATTATTATTATTCCATGCTTATCCAAGCTTCAACAGATAGATAGATAGATAGATAGATAGAAAGAAATGAAAAGTGAGAGAGAAGATAAAGAGAAAGATAGACAGACTGAGAGACATAGAAAGAAAGAAAGAAAGAAAGAAAGAAAGAAAGAAAAAAAAAAAGAAAGAAAGAAAGAAAAAAAAAAAAAAAAGTGAGTTAACGAGAGGAAGCAAGGAGGGAGATGAACAGGCTTAGATAGATAGATAGATAGATAGATAGATAGATAGATAGATAGATAGATAGTGAGAGAGAGAGAGAGAGAGAGAGAGAGAGTGCGATAGAAATTAAACGAGTGAGACAGAGGGCGGAAGCGAAAGAGATTACAGTCTTAGATAGATAGATAGATAGATAGATAGATAGATAGATAGATAGATAGATAGATATGAAACAAGTGAGTTACATAGAGAGAGAATGCGAGAGAGAGATGAACAAAATTAGATAGAGAAACAGAGAGAGTACGATAGAAATGAAACGATTGAGTTAGAGAGTGAAGGGAAAGAGAAGAACAGATTTAGCTAGCTAGCTAGCTAGCTAGATAGATAGATAAATAGAAATGAAACGAAAGAGAAGAAAAAAGAGATATAAAGAGACTGAGATTGATAGACAGATCACAAATTTAATTTAAAGTCCAGTTATCTAAAAACTGATAAACTTAAGAAATAAACCGAATTTGCAAATGGTTTTAAAATTATAAACCGTCATGCATATATATATATATATATATATATATATATATATATATATATATGTATGTATGTATGTATGTATGTATGTATGTATGTATGTATGTAAGCAAATATATTGATATAAATCCGACAATATGAAGAAAAATATACAGAAAAAACAAACAAAAATCTTAATATGCAATTATGCTGTATTAATGGTAATATAAAGTCAACGTCGGACGTTTCGGTCTATTTTAGACCATCATCAGGACATATAATCTAAAATAGACCGAAACGTCCGACGTTGACTTTATATTAACATTAATACAGCATAATTGCATATTAAGATTTTTGTTTGTTTTTCTGTATATTTTTCTTAATATATATATATATATATATATATATATATATATGTGTGTATATATATATATATATATATATATATATATATATATATATATATACACTGGTATCTCCAAATTTTTAAATTGATGATTATGTTATTAATTTTGATTTGATTGGTGAATTTTCCATCTGATCAACAGAGAGATATCTTATGAACACTCATTACAGTACGTAGAGATATCATAGGAATACTCATTAATGTATGAAAAAATATCATAAGAATATTCCTTAAAGTACATAGTGATATCCTATGAATAATTATCAGAGTACGCAGAGATTACATAGGAATACTCATTAAAGTAAATATAGATATTATATTAATATTTATTAAAGTACATAGATATATCCTATGAATACGTCTTAAAGTACGTAGAGATATCATAAGAATATTCATTAAAGTACATAAACAAATCATATGGATATCCATTAAATTACGTAGAGATATCATATGAATACTTATTAAAGTACGTAGAGATACAAGAATATTTATTAAAGTACATAGACATCATATGTATATTAATTAAAGTAAGCTGAATCTATGCCCAATATACTGATATCAATGCGTTTTACGGCTCTGGGGAATAAATTTCTACAAAGAACTTTTTTTTTGCAAGAATATAGAAAGGCAATATTTTAACTCGGGTAATTGGTTGAATTCAAAAAGTAAAATTCACATCTTATTGTGAGTGCAACAGAATTCTAAAAACGGGAAAATTAAAAGATGAAGGGAAAACTCCGGCAACATCTTAGATTGGAATATCAAAGTAAATTCAAAATAAAAACAAAACAAAAAATCTCTTATCTTTCTTCCTGTAATTTTTCCTCCCATTAATTTTGAACAGATTTTTATGCAGTGAATCGAGAGGATTTTACCTTCTAGTCGTATTAGAATTACGAAAATCTGAATACTTTGGTCGCTTTTATATTCTTCTGTAGACGCAAAATTGGCAATTCTCTTCCACTAAGTGATTGTAAAGGAATCTGTAAAGAGCGTAATTATGTCAGATTGTCTCAGTTTCATATTGTGTAAAGAAATTTCTTTTGATGTCAAGCTCTTCAGGTGAATTTAATTGTTTTCTTACCTTGTTTGGAGTTTCATTATTTACAATTGTTCTCAGTAATTATGTCTACTCCGTTCTATGATATCAGAAATTAATTGCAACTTGGAAATTTGAATTTCTAATCGAAAAACATTGAAATTGAGACTGATTTATCTTCATGAAAATGAAACCTTAGAACATTGGTTGGTTTTGTTTAGTGTAATTGTATGGCTTCAACTACAGAAAATATATTCATGCTCATTTTACTATAAAGTGTATTGTTGGTAATCTATATATAAAATTCTGTGACTCCTGTTAGCACGTTTATCCGTCACTCCCTCTAAAATCGATCAATTGATCAATCGTAACCAAATTTAGGGGAAAAGTACAAACAGGTAAGTGGGTACAAAGAACAGATTGTTTTATGAGGGGGCGTAAATTTTCTTTAACTTTTTGGGAAAAATTAAAAGTTCCCTTATTTAACATACAAAATATTCCCACTATTTTGAAAAGAATTTAATGATTAAAATAACAAATACTTATTTAATAAAAAATATATTGTTTTTTTTTCATATTTTTTCTTTAAGTTTATATATATATATATATATATATATATATATATATATATATATATATAAGAATCCAGTTTACAGTTCGCCCTGCGTTTGCGCGAACTATGAACAAATCACAATGCCAAACGCTTCAAAAGCTGGAATTTGTTTCCAGAAAGAAAGATTTAAGCATGGACAGTTGTATGTTGCATGCTCAAGAGTAAGAAATCGTAAGAATTTATTCTCAGCTGTTAAAAAGTGTTGTGGTGTCTTTCGTCTAATAAGGCTATCGTGGACTATTCCACTTATAAAGTAGTAGGAAAGTAAGCCTCGGGGGAACAATGCCATAGCCTGTTCGGTTGTCAAACTCGCTGCCTCAGCGGAGAGGAACCCTGAGATGGCTTTGTCGGAGGGCAAGGTTTCGTCCGGGAAAGTGGACAGATCCCGAACCCGCTTATGCGGGTTCTGGGGGAATATTTTTGGCCTCGCCTACGTGCTCGTAGAACCCTAAACTAGGCCTTATGCCACATACATTACTCGCGGAGGGGGGAACTGTTAAATATAACGGTGCCATAGCCCGTTCTACTCTCGAACTCTCTACCGAGGCTGAGAGGAACCCGGACGAGGCTTTGCCGAAGGGCAAAGTTTCGTTCGGGGAGGTAGACAGACCCTGAACCCGTTTTGTACGGGTTCTAAGGGAATATTTTTGGCCGTGCCTACGGGCTCGGAGAACCCACGATAAACTTAGCCTTGTGCCACATATATCTCTTGTGGGGAGGCTGTTAAATATTAACAGTGATCTAGATGGTTCTACCGAGGCTGTGACTGTTCGCAGACCCTGTCGAACTCTCTGCCTTGGGCAGAGTGGAATCCAGATGAGGCTGTGCGAAGGGTAGGGTTTCATCCGGGCAGGTAGACAGACCCGAACCCGTTTATGCAGGTTCTACGGGGATTTTTTGGCCGCGACTACGGGCTCGGATGACCCACGTTAAACTCGGCCTTTTGCCACATATAACCCTCGTGGCGGGGCTGTTAAGTATTAACAGGGATATAGACTGAACTCTGGTCAACCAATACACACTCCCAAGTCGTGTAACACACTTCTGTTGTATTTATTATTCAATACACGCCTTATCTGCAGCCTCTTGTTTTGTTATTTCTTAACCATTTACTTGGTCACAACAAAAAGGAAAAAAATAATTTTTCTTAAAATTAATGTTTAACATGAAGTCCTATAAAATTAATTTAAATTAAAGAAATTATTAAACCGCAAAGTAGGTTTTTTTCAGAGTATTTTTCCAAATAAATTAGCTTATTCAAATTTCATTGATTGGTTTGCGAAATATAATGAAACGTAGAGTTTGTAAATCACGACAGAAATTTTAGCGCTAAGTTCAGCAAAACTGAATACTGTAAAGATTTCAACAAACGCCAGCAATAATAATCTAGTTCTACTACAAAATGTATTGCTGTTAATTTTACTATATATATATATATATATATATATATATATATATTATTATTGTACTTTCATGGACTTTTGCTTTTGTTCGGGGTTTCATTATTTGGCCATAGCCGAGACCCTAGCAGGTTCTATTACCCCGAGTCAATGTGAACCTGAGAACGATAGCAGACAGCAGATGGTTCTACGCTCCTCAAAACCTCAAATCTCTCAATCAGAGCCCTTGCTACCGGATGTAGTTTATCGTCATGCCCAGGAATAGAAAGTCTTAAAGTCATGATTTCTGTCATTTGGTAATGATTCTTGTTTGTGATTTTATAACGCCAGTAAAATTCCCAATAATTATCATATTCATTGTTATTCAGACCGGCGGTATTTACTTGACTCCCACGAGGTCAAGATGTGACACAAGGTCGTTTTTCGTGGGATTACTTGACTCCCACGGGGTCAAGACGTGACACAAGGTCGTTTTTCGTGGGAAAACCCAAGCGTTTCCGCATAGGGTCACTGGTCAAAGATTGGTCATAACATGTCCAAGCTGGTCAAAGCTTAGTCAAGTTCTGGTCCAAGTTAGTCTTAGCAGGTCCTGATATGGTCCAAACTAGACTTTGCCATGGTCGCAACCCAGCCCGTTATTCCGGGCTGCTTCCGTTATTCAGACCGGCATGCACATCTTAATTGTTATGATGACAACTTTTCAGTCGTTTTACTCTTCGACTTTTTTTCAGTTTTCTGTTGATTAAAACATTTGTTTTTCTAACAGTTGTGAGTTCAATCCCTTGGCCAGGTAATACGGAAAAGTCATACACTCTACTTCAGTGAAAGAATCAGATTAACAACACAAAGTGAATAAAACTGACAAATATTAAATGATATTAAACGATATCCCCTAAGCCTACAAAACTTAATAAGAACAATCTAAAACCTTACACTGAATAAAGATTTATATTGAAAATTCTAACAACAAAGATAAGTATGCTTCTCCGAATAGCAAAGGATATAAGAATGCAGACACTTGTAGATGGTCGAAGCGTACAACGGCCGAAACTTTATGATTATAACAAAGAAGAGCATGCTGGTCATAACAAAGCATAAAATCATAGTCCTGAAGAAGGCCAGATAGTACAACAGTCGAAATGTTGTGCGTATAGCAACTCGTATAGTAGCCCGAATACCAAGGCGCATAATGCGACCATCTTATCTTAAAAATTCCGACAAATGTTTACACTGGAGTTTATACAAATCAGTTATTTTTTTAGTAGAATGTATTTTCTATTTGACTGAATGTCCTTTCCTGATGACAATTAAAATAATTTAAGAGTAGAAAATGTTTATCACTTTTGCCGCTGGTAACATCACTCGAAGGGTTAACTGATTTGATGTGTCAAAGACAAACGCGACGACCCATTTTTTTTTTTTATGTCTAATAGCAAAATCAATACGTCAAGCCTCAAGTAAAATGGTTTCTGCATTTTAATTAATTCCAAGTCCTTAAAATGCCCATATAAGATATGTAACTAAATGCATTTTATTGCTATCTACTAAACGAAACGTAGGTTGGTACAAGGTCAACAAATATAAAATCCACATTAAGGATTAAGCTCAGTACAGTCCAACCTTTTTAATCCGAAACATTTTTGAATCGGCCGGCATTAGTTCGTTGGGCGGCTACAAGAGTAGAACCATACATTATTTCAAACTTTTCGCAGCAGCCGACAACAGCAGAGTGTTTTTTTGTGATACGGTCTTGCTTATTTCTTAGATATAGTTGCATATTTTGCATTCAGGAAAGTAAGTATACATTTTTTTTTTAGTTTTAGGGTTTAAAAAATATAAATGATTGTTTTATTTCGTTTTTTAAGCTTTGCACTAACATTAACAAAGGAATATAATTGTGGAATTAGCTGACAATTCTATGTTCACATAGGGGACTTTTTAGGAGTGATTTCTGTAATCCGCAATGTTCTGTAGTCCGGTAGTGGCCTTCTCCCAATGATACCGGAATAAAGAGTTCAGACTCCATTAAAAAATTCAGTTAGATGAGTTTTTTTACCAAAATTTACCACAATTGCTTATTGTTTAAAATCTAACAATGTGTTTTCTCTAGTATGGTACCCTACGTGTTGTTTTTCTTAATATGTCAACACAATATGGTCACTGTTAAAATTATAATGATGAATGACGTGTATAGCATGAATGAAAAGACAGGTGGTGGGAAATAAGGCTTATGAGGATAAGGAGGATAGATAATGATTGACCTTTGATATTTCAGGAGTCCCTTTTGAAAACCTAATACTAGTAAGGACTAAAAAAGTAATGCTGTCATTTTTTGACTGGATGTATGAACTAGTATTAATATAAGGATCAATGAAAGATAAAACTGGGGACCGGATTTCCATTGTTAGTAATAATAAATTAACTTCAGTCCATATTACTTATTAAAATAACAATTAGAATATTTTTATAAGCTAAAGTTCGTCCAAGTGGCGCCCAATGTAGATCTTTACAGTTAAAATGGTGATGAAGAATTAGATTAATTCGTTTCGTTTTATAAACAAAGACAACCAACCAAACCAATCAAAATATTTAGATTTCGGTATTAAATAACTCATAGAGGTGTTGATATGCCGCTAAGCAAAGACAACCAACCAAACCAATCGAAATATTTAAATTTCGGCATTAAATAACCCATAAAGGTGTTGAAATAAACAAAGACAACCAATAAAGGAGGTGTTGATATGCCGCTAAACAAAGACAACCAACAAACCAATCAAAATATTTAGATTTCGGCATTAAATAACCCATAGAGGTGTTGATATGCTAAACAAAGACAACCAACCAAACCAATCAAAATAAATTTCGGCATTAAATAAAAGACAATGCCGCTAAACAAAGACAACCAACCAAACCAATCAAAATATTTAGATTTCGGCATTAAATAACCATAGAGGTGTTGATATGCCGCTAAACAAAGACAACCCACCAAACCAATGTTGATTTAAATTTCGGCATTAAACAACCCATAGAAACAAGGACAACCAATCGAATCAATCAAAATATTTAGATTTCGGCATTAACTAGATTGATATGCCACTAAGCAAAATCAAGCAATCAACAAGCCTATATTTTTTAGAAAAAACCTATATGATGCTCACTTATATTAGAAGAGAGGATTCAATTTTTTATAAGTTTAATTAATCACAATGATGCAGAACCTAACTATAATTTGTTGTATCTTTGGTCCTCCACGGATGGATTAAAAGATTATCAGGCGATGGGAGAAACCCCTTTCGGTGATTGAAGGTAGGCAGCACATTTTGATTACTGTATTTCCCGCCCTTTCCTAAAAAAATACCCTGAAAAATACGTGTGCATCTTTCAAGACGAATGTAAGTCAACGCCTAGGCTTAAGTAAGCTTGGACAGTCACCTTATTGGCTTGATGTTGATTTGTAAGTTTAGTTAATACGCTATAATGTTAGCTATCTATCTAATTCAGCCTTTTATATGATGTAACCTCAGTACTTATCCATTACATGTAATTCCAAGCCTATAAACCTTTCTGGAACTGAGCCATATGCTTAAACGTTTACTAGCAGCGGCGGGAGCCTTTCTGCTCTTTACTAGTATTTCATTGCCATACAAACAAAATCGGACGAGTGATTAATGTAAGCAATACATGACACCAGTATGTGAGGGACGTATGGCGAATACGTTATATAGAAAATTTCATAGAAAATTCTTTCCAATATTAGGGTGCGTCTTCCAAGCTGCAGCGTCAAGCAATCGGCAACTGAAATTTGCTACGCCAAGTGCAGTAGTAGGGGTTGCAGATTAGCACCGAAAAGGTTTCTTGCTTATTATTATCTAGTAAAGTTAACACGGTAATAGTGTGGGGGCAAAAAGGAAGACTTCGGCTTTATTTTTATTTCTTCTTTAAAAAAAAAAACTGAATAAATTCTGATGTGTGTCATTTACTTGCATAATTTGAAGCTTTGACAAACCTGTTTTTGTTAATCTAAATCACCCCAACCAAGGCATTAATGCCACTAAAAACACAACTACAAGAAAATGTATCTTATCCGACGCGTTCCGCCCTCTGAGGTTGCAGGGTGTGGAAGAATTAGGAACAGAAATAATACTGATAAGCAGAAAGAGAAGAGATTAATCACAAGAACAATAGATAGCAATTGGCATTAATACTGTTTGAGAAACATGGAGCCTGATGGAAGTTCCATAAGCAAGAAGTGCGAGGAAAGAAACTGTTAGCATAGAATTTACGATTGCATTAGATGTAGTACCTCCTCCTCTTCGTCCTCTCTCTGGCTGGGTACAGCGAGAAGTCGCCACGTTATTTAGAAAGGGTTGGGTAAAGGTTAACAGGTCCAGCAAAATACTGAAAAGCCCAAGAAAAATAAATTGAGATGTGCCACGAAACGTATCAAAATGTTCACAAAGTGTATTCAGACAAGGTTCGTAACACTTAAAGAAATAAAAAGTCATTAGGCTTATCATGGAACTAAATGAACTTAAATTGACGGGTGTGTGGCAACGCAACAAAGAAAAGGTCAAGGCTACGAAGACATAACGTTAGCTCTTGGTCACGTGGACGGAGTAGCAAAGGGCTACTATAATATACAACTCAACAGTAAATTGATGAGATCTTGACTCCAATCTAATAGGTTGGTGCAAAAATAATGACGCAATAATGTCGTTTTTTGACGTTAAAAAATATGTCAAAAAACGACATTATTTTTGCACCAACCTAATAGCACTGATCTTACATTAAAAAAAAACTAGTTAAAATAACGAACGGCTCGTTCGAACAGCTACTATAAAAAAAAATATAAGCTACCTTACGGCGATGGGAAAGTATTAGGTTGGTGCAAAAATAATTTCGTTTTCTAACATATGTTACTATGTGAGAAAACGAAATTATTTTTGCACCAACCTAATAACTAAAGCTGACCCGCCAGAAAATGACCAATAATATGGCAGATTCTTCTTTGGATCACAACAAGAAGCTCAAGGTGAATAGAAGGGGAACCAGACCAATATGTAGCAGGAATATTCTTAGTATGGACTTGTATTTGTTAAATAGAATTTTAGGGTTTTTTTCTCGAAAAATACAATGAAAAATAACTCAGTCGAATTAGTTCTATCATCAAGAATGTGTCCTTGAGTCAGCAATCTTGTCGCTAATCGCCTTAAGGTGAATATCAAGTGGTTATATTCATATTTTCTATTGGAGTATTAGAAAAAGTAATTAAGCCATCCAATGTCCAAGCTGATGCACAAACGCGTGTGAAAAATATCAAATTAATATCCGCTTGTACACGCAAGAACTACTCTTCACAATTGTTAAACCCTGTAAAATGGCGTAGATGCTACCGAAGGCAACAGTTGAAGAAATAAAAGGAAGGGCGACCAGAAAGCAGAAGAAAAAAAATTCGTGTGAATAGCTAGAGGGGAAAGACGCATCACAGTTCTGTGTTCGACTGAATACATCCGAACTGTACAGATCGATGGCATATCTAGCCAGCCGAAATGGACCGCATTGAATACCAACAATGTTTAATTATAAGATGACCTGATGTGAATGTCAACCTAACGGACTACTTTTTTTTTAAAATCACTACGCTTTATGTTCATCTATTATTACTTTTCGTATTACGAAAAAAAAGGCGTATTGCGGACGTCATTTGTTAGGGACTATTTTATTTCTGATAGAATATATGATCGTTAGGTAAAAGAAGAGAGAGATGGATGGGGGAAAAATCTGTTTACATCACAACTGAGTGGATTACAAGATCTCTTACAGATACTCAAACACTAGCGTACATTGAAAACATATGAGAAGGTGTTCTGCGGCGAAGACGCAACGGCCACATCCGGGCATTTTTTTTAATTGATTGATTAACAGCTTGTCAACTTTTATTGGTTGTTTAAAGCCGAAACATTAAAAATAATTCTTTGTTTATGCGAATAAATTTTGAACTAACATTTCGTTTAGAATAACGATGATTTCTCGAATTTCAACCCTACAATTTTACCCAGACTTTCTCAACATTTTCAGCCTTGTGCCACCCTTGAAATACTTTACCTATCCCAGGGAACCCCTGCATAAAATATTAATATCAAAATTCGCATCGTATACATAATAAATAGACACCATGCATACGCCCTGTACACCAGTGAGTCACTCAGTGATACACGAATCTGCCACGTACCGATCCTATCTATTAACCAGCGAAGGCGGTTTCACACTGACGCCATATCTTTTTTATGTGCCATGTCCTTTCAGGACGTAGGCGATTTGCGGGTCTCAAAAAGTCCTTCACTCTGCTTCCTTCCGTAGACCACGTCCTGCCATCCACTTGCATAAGCCCGCCAGTTATGTCACGCGTTATTTTCCCTTCTCTCACTTTTCCTCTATTCGACCCGTGAGTATCAGATTTTCTAGGCCCTCCTTCCTCATTATGTATCCCAGAAACTTCAGCTGCCTCTTCCTGATATTAAGTATAAGCCTCCTCCCACCCTGTTTGCATCCTCTCTAAGACCTTATCTGTTATACTGGAACACACCCATTCCATAGTTAACAGACTCTCCCACCTATAATAGGTAGTAGTAGTAGCAGTCGGCAGGGGGCTCAGAGTGTTGGTCAGTCAGTCGATGTCGGACATTAAGGTATCAGCCACCACAACTAGATTGCTGCGTCATTAACTATTATAACAAGTTCCTAACGTTTTGTACGTCGAACCTTTTTTAGGACCGACTTAGTGAAATACAAGCCCTCACTGTGAAACTACTCTATAACATTATTGTTGCTCACACGCTCGGTCCATGATATCCTTAACATCCTTCTGTAGAACCACATTTCCGTAACCTCGAGTCTCTTCTTCATCTTTGAGGAAATTGTCCAACATTTGCTGCCGTAATGAAGGACAGATGTCACGTAACAGCTCAGTATTCTTTTCTTTGTTACCAAAGAAATCCTCCTGTCTCTCAATAGTCTGCCCAGCTTTTGAGATGTGTCCTTGGCCATCCCAATATGTCTACGGATCTCAGTATCGCTTTTACCGTTCTCTGTCAAGACGCTTACCAGATATTTAAACTTCTGCGTCTGGTTGATTCTAGTGTTCCCGACCTGCAAATCGCATTTCGGACTCTTCGTCTTACTGATAACCATGTATTCTGTCTTGTAATTTATGCTTAGTCCTTTCTCCTCACTCTCTGTTGCTACCTTCTGTAGGAGATTTTGTAATTTCTTTTCCGTGTAGACAGCGCTAAATACATTCCCTGCGATTGTTATAATTTTAAATAATATAATGACTTGAATCCTTTATTCTAACAATTAATAATTTTTCAACAATATGCCGTGCGTTTATAGTAAAATTACGAATATGAAATTTAATAAAAATTAGCCCATTTATCAATGTTTCTCGGGAAACACCTAGCGACCTCTTGCGAAATATTAGGATTCCGGATTAACACCGGTTGGTAAACACTGATTTAACCCATAGCTTGCATGGGCAGATTCAGATCTTTCCCGAGGGTAGTTGAATGTAGGTGGATGTAACGAACCCGACTGAAATTCGAACTCCGTTCATCGATTTTCTAGGCATAACATTACATCATTCGCACATAGTGATGATGATGATGATGATTTAAAGTGAGGGTTTAATTTTCTTCTGTGATTAAGTAGTAAACCGATCCCCGTTTATATTAATACACGCTGTCCAAAAAGTTTCTTTACAATTTAAAAAAATATATATTACCAAGGCAATTGATGTGACACCAAAACTAGATGATTTTCAACCAACCATCATTTTGTCAGCAAGATGGTGCACAACCACACTGGGTACTAATTTCCTGGCTACCTCGTTAGCCAGTGATTATTCCTTTGGACTTCTTTCTGTGAGGTTATGTCAAAGATATCGTATATCGAACAAAGGTACGTGACATCACTGATCTAAAGCAAAAGATCATTATTGCCACCATTGATGCTACAGCGAACGTGACAAGAAATCGAATACCGTTTTGATGTACATCGTGCATCTAATGGCGCCCATATAGATGTGGGTTAAAGTCGTTAAAAAAATTCAATATCTACTCATTTTGTATCAATTTTCACATATTTGTCTGTTAATTTGCTTTTGTAAATATATGTTTTAATAATTTAATGAAAATTGCAAACAGACATTATTTATAAAAAAATATTTGTAATGACTGACCTATAAAAATGTAATATACGCCATCATTTTTTTTTTTTTTTACGGCCGGGTTAAACTAAGATTTATATTTATATTAAAATGGACATAAAGTGTGAACTTGGTTTACTATTGTTATTAAGTAATAAACCTGTCAGCAAATAATTAATAATATGGTCCTGTGATCCTGCTATATATCTTGAAAATTTCCAAAGAAGAGATAAAACTGTGTCACACCGCGCGCTACGCACCCTCACTACGTTTGGAGAGTAGTTAGAGGGAGCAAATGAAACAGTTTGTTAACAAGGAATTATGAAGACTCTTTAAAGTGTTGACATTTATTCTAAAAAACAAGTTATTATTTTATGGTTTTACTTAAAACATTTTTATGGCATTTGTTACAACATTTTATGCAACATATTTATAGTTTTACAACATTTTTATACATTTTTTTTATGGATTTACTTACATTTTATAGTATCACAACATTTTAATACATTTTTATGGATTTACTTACAAAATTTTTATGGTTTTACAAAATTTCTATACAACATTTTTATACAATTTTTATGGTATTACAATATTTTTAAGATATTAATTACAAAATTGTTATACAACGATTTTACACATTTTTTTATAGTTTTACTTACAATATTTTTATGGTATTACAACATTTTTATACATTTTTTTATGGATTTACTTACAACATTTTTATGGTATTACTTACAAAATGTTTATACAACAATTTTATACATTTTTATACTTTTACTTACAACATTTTTATACGTTTTTTATGGTTTTATTTACAACATTTCCATGGTTTTACCTACAACATTTCTATGGTATTACTTACAACATTTTTATAAAAAACTTTTATACATTTTTTATGGTTTTACTTACAACATTTTTATGGTATTACAACATTTTTATACAATATTTTTATAGTTTTACAACATTTTTATACATTTTTTATGGTTTTAATTACAACATTTTATAAAACATTCCAAGCGTCTATCTTTGTACACAGTAGTCTTTCTGGAAATATTCAAGCCAACATTTCAGCGGTAAAATTGCTTTAATTCTGTTTTTTCTGAATTATTGGATTATTCCACGCCAGTTAATCATTCGCCGGATTAGTGCTTTTTATACTTTTCTTCGACTAAACAAGTGTCTGTGGCATTTCATCAAAACAAGAACTAATAATTAAAATGCAAGGGAACCAGATGTGCTGCTTTATAATTGTCTTAATTAGAATCCCTTAGAAGTCTATTGTTTGTCCATAACGGTTACAAGTGACATCAATATCCAACTACAATTAAACCATAGATTTTCTTTTAATTGATGGCTTATAATGTTTTTCAACTGAACATGGATCTAAATTCCACGCGATTTCCACACAAACTTTTACCTGGTTGCAACACGTGACGTTTTATCTAATAATACTCTAATGTAAGTTTCTTTGATATAATTCAGCATAGTCCCCGGATCGGAAAGAAAAGCAAATCAATATATATATATATATATATATATATATATATATATATATATATAAAATATATAGAACAAACATATAGAAATACCCAAATCTCTACGCCCAGGTTTTTCCCCATTTCACCTTTCTTAATAAAATTCCTGCTCGTACAAACAAATATACACAACAGATTCATAAAAGCAAAAGAAAATGGTTGAATACATCAACACAGATACAATGACAATATTCTCCACACGTGACAAATACTGACGTTATTTTCAGTTCACAATATGAAAATAGCGTTTCTCTACATTCCAGTTGCTAGGAACATTCTGTTTTTTTTTTTTTTTTTAGTTACCTTTTATTATTTTATTTTGCTTTGATAAAGTCCACATTGGACGAAACGCGTCAGCAATTAAATTATTTATTCATTTATATATATAAAACCGTTTATGTCAGTTTGTTTGGTTGACTTTTTCTGATCGGAATATTTTAAATATAAAAAACAACACAGATTTGTCTTTAATTTTTAAGGAAGACGCCTACCTTAACGAAAGCGAAACACGTTGTTAATACAAAGCCTTTTCCCTTTGTCTCAGATTCTGTTTATACTTGAGACAAAACGGTTTGTACCTGAGGCAAGTGTTAAATAGAGCTCTAGTTTATAATTGAGACACAAGGTTGACATAGTTCCGGTGTATACATAATTAAAAAGTAGATAAACATCCGGTTTATATCTGTTTATATTTCTGAGATGAGGTATTTTAATTATTTACACGATGAACAATGTTCGGATTGTTGTCCTCATCTTTGTTGCTATATTCACAACATTTCAGCCGTTGCACATCCCGGCCTTCTTCAGGTGATTGGAATTTTGTGCCGAACCCCTTATTTCTTTCACTGGGGTAGCTTGTTCTAGTTCCACGTGCCATGACTCTTCCAGGCGTCTCAGTATCAGTTATTTCCCTTTAACTCAACTCTCCAAGTTTTTTGTAGCCAGGTAACAACTCTTTGTGTCAAGTCACTGGATTTCCAACGCTTTTATCCACTGGACCACGTGTCTTTGAGGAACAGTCTACTCCTGTGTACGAAATAAAGGGCTCGGTTCGAAATTCCAATCACCTGAAGAAGGCCAGAGCACAAAACGGCTGAAATGTCGTAGATTTGGCAACAAAGATGAGGATAACAGCCTGAACATAGTAAATAGTGTAAATAATTCAGTTTATATTTGAGTTAGAAGCTAGGGAAATTCTGTTTCAAAAGGTAGCTATAGGCTCGATTTATGTCGTTTTTCAAACTTACCTGAAAGGTGGACCTTTTAGATACGCATCTATTCTTCTACAAAGGATGCAGGTAGTGTGTACCTAGCCTCACCCACAGCTCTATCGTATTCACTGACAAATGCTTCGTGTCTGCTTACTTTAACACAATAGTTGCATTCGCTGTCATAATTAATTTTCTTTATGCTGTGTCTAGCTAGATTGTATTGATCGATTTAATATTCTGTTTTGTCTGTATATTTGAAAAGAATCAGTACTATTCCAGACTTTGGTTACAAAGCTGTAGAATGGTAAAATATAAGTAACACAGGTATGAAATTTAATCGTTAATTCAAAAATTACAATATTCTTTTAATTAAGTTGCAGTACAAAGGTATGACAAAATGTACATATTTTTCTACAGAAAGGATCTTGTCAGTTTTATGGGAATTTCAACTTCGATGTCTCAAAAGCCTCTTGGCTTCTGAGACATCGAATTTTGAATTCTATCATTACTACTTTTGACCAGTCAAAAACTTCAGAGAAAGAAGGCAATATTTCTTTTGGCCAATCAGAGCCCTCAGAGAAAGGAGACTATAAGTCTTTTGACCAATCAGAGCCCTCAGAGAAAGAATATATTTCTTTTGACCAATCAGGTCCCCCAGAGAAAGGAGGCTATATTTCTTTTGACTAATCAGAGCCCTCAGAGAAAAGAGAGCATAATTCCTTTGACCAATCAGAGCCCTTAAAGAAAGAAGACTATATTTCTTTTGACCAATAAGAGCCATCGGAGAAAAGAGACTATATTTCTTTTAACCAATCAAAAAAAGAAAGAAAATGGTGGCTATATTCTTGATACTTGCAGACGATCTTTTTGGGAAAAATCACTATTAAATATAATCCCTCTTAAATTATTGAATAAAAAAATAACTGAAGATAATGTTTAGCCAATTGTAAAACAAAAGAAGTGAATTTAGAGCATTTCGAAAGTGGCGTAATGGTTAAATGGCGTGTTTCACTCGAAGCAATTATGACTGAGTAGTAAGATCCTCACTGGGTACTCCGTACATTCGGTCTAGTGCCGCATCTATAAGCTACGCTACGCAAATTACCTCAAAAGATGGCAATTTTTTTAATAGACTATTTGGATCGTCAAACGACTGACGATAGTTCCTGACTTATTTCGAAGATTGTAATTAGACTTTTCTGTCTATGAATGTTTTAAAATATAAATTCATTTATAAAAGTGATTCCTCTTTCTTTTTTTTTTTTTTGTTTTGGTTTTTCAAAAATATATTCCTCTTCAAGATCAAAACGTTTATTTGACAGTTCCCGTTTAACAGACGATTCGCATTTTCTCCATTACTCTTAGCGTTGTTTAATTCAGAACGCTATCTATAAAACTCTGATAAATATACTTACATTATTTGCATTATTCGAACTGTTATCCACATCTTCGTTGCCATATTCACAACGTTTCGGCCGTTGTATACCGCTGCCTTCTTGAAAGGATTGGAATTTCCAACCGAACTCTTTATTTACTCCACTGGGGTAGATTGTTCTAGTTCCAAGTGCCATGCCTCTTTCAATCATCTGACGCGTACAACGGACAAAACGTTGTGAACATGGCAATGAAGATGAGGACAACTGTCCGAATAATGTAAATAATGTAAGTAATCATAATACCTCAGTCCAGAGATATAGACAGATATCTTATAAATATGTTATTCGCTTTTATTTTTATTCACTTCATTCTTTAAAAAATAACTACAAATATTCTATTATTTTCTGTTGATTTTTAATTTTTACTGTATTACGGCGACTTCTTGAGTTGATGCACACAAACAGCTTCAAACATAATCACGCGTATCCGGAGTGAGAGGCTTGTTGATCTAGATTGGACACAGAGAAATGACCTTCGTGGGAAGTTTTTCGCAAATGAGGCAAGATTTGCGTCAGACACTCACAGACTTATTTTCGTCTAAGACACTTGATTTCTGCCGTTATAGCATTGCGCAGCTAGAAGTATGTCGGGAAAAAGGTTCTGGTTACCCATGAGGATTACTTTAATTTCAAGGAATTTTTGGTTATCTTTTATTTGAATCACCAAATGACCTACTATTTTCACTCTTTATCTTCTATATACAATTCTGTTCATAAACGCATTCAAATATAACTAAATTTGTTGAATTTGTAGCAGTGTTTAATCTTTTGCTTTGTTTTTTTTTACACAAAATATATTCCTTTATAACGGCAACACTCGTATTTGGTTTGGTTTATATTGTTTTAAGGCATATCAACACCTCAGTGGGTTATTTAATGCAAACATGATGTTTAGGATAGGTTCGTATGAATAGAATATATACTCTTCGTAAGAAATCAGTTTGTAGATCCGGTTTCATTGACGTATTTTTGTAAAGAGGGTTTATGTCGAGCGTATTTCTTTATTTTTTTAAATACAGTAACTTTTTAAATCCGGTAATTTTTCTAAATACATTGCTGGTAATATTTTTAAAAATGTATTGCTGGTAAATTTTTTTTAAATCCGATAATTTTTCTAAATAATTGTTGGTAATATTTTTAAAAATGTATTGCTGGTAATTTTTTAAAAAGATCCAGTAATTTTTTAAATCCAGTAATTTTTCTAAATACATTGCTGGTAATATTTTTAAAAATGTATTGCTGGTAATTTTTTTTTTAAATACAGTAACTTTTTAAATCCGGTAATTTTTTTTAAATACATTGCTGGTAATATTTTTAAAAATGTATTGCTGGTAATTTTTTTTTTAAATACAGTAACTTTTTAAATCCGGTAATTTTTCTAAATACATTGCTGGTAATATTTTGAAAAATGTATTGCTGGTAATTTTTCTTTTAACTGCATTCTAGGTATTTTTTTTTTCTTTTTTATAAAAATCTGTTGCTTGTGTTTTTACTATAAAAATCTATTTTTATACTTTCATAGTATTTTGGCCCTAGATTAATGGTTAACTATTTTTCCATAGCTGTGACCCCCAACAGGTGCTACCACCCAGTGTCACGCTGGGCCTGGGAACAACAACAATTAAGAGATGGTTCCACATTCTTCAAAATCACCTGATCAGAGGCCTTGCTGCCAGATGTAGTTTATCGTCAAGACGACTGGTATCTAGCAATCACTATTTAACAGACAGCAGACGACATTTAATTAAATTATGACAGAAAAAAAAACTGATTTCCTTTTATTGAATATTGGCGTCGTTCTTTGCAAATTTTCGTGGATATAAAAGACATAAATTTCAATTTCCGATAAATTTTCTGTCTCTAGTCGTCTAAAAAATGTTAATATGAAACATGGAATATTCGAGTATGAGGATTTGTTTATTTCAATGCCACAAAAAGTTTGCATTGTAATTTGATGATAATATATACTTTTGGTGAGTTTCTTCGATTATAAATGGCGAGAAAAAGAAAATATATTCAGGTAAAAAAGAAGAAAGGAAGAAAGGAAGAAAGAAAACGACGAAAGAAAAAGGAAGAAAAATAAATAAAAAATAAAATATAAATGAAAAATAAAGTGTAAAGAAAAAAGAAAGAAAGACAAGAGTTAAAAAGAAAAGGAAAGAAAGAACAAAGAGTCTAAAGAAAGAAAGAAAGAAAGAAAGAAAAAAAGAAAAAAAGAAAATGAAGAAAACAGACGATAAAGAGAGACAGAAAAATAAATAAAAATAAATGAAACAATAATTAAAACCGAAAAAATGAGGAAAGGAATAAAATGAAAACTAAACGGTAAGAAAGAAAGAAAATTAGGAAAAACGGAAGAAACAAAGAAAGAAAGAAAATGAAAGAAAGAAAAAGAAAGAAACACAAATGAAAAATGGAATATCACAAAAGTAATCAGGAAAGGCATAAAATTAGAACAAAAATTTAAAAAAGAAGAAAAAAGAAAGAAAGAAATAAAAAAGAAAGAAAGAATGAAAAAAGGATGAAAGAAAGCAAAGATAAAGACAAAAGAAGGAAGAAATAAAGAATCAAGAAAAACAAAGAAAAAGAAAAGCAAAGCAAATTTAGAAAGAAAAGCAAAGAAAGAAAAGAATAAAAGAAAGAATGAAAAAGAAAAGATAAAATAAATAATACATATAGAAAGAAAGAAAGAAAGAAAGAAAGAAAGAAAAAAGAAAAAGAAAGAAAAATGAAAGAGAACGAAAAAGAAAGAAAAGGAAGAAGAAATAAAAGAAGGAACTTTAAAAGAAAGAAAGAAAAACACAAGAAATGAAGCAAGAACAAAGACAAAAGATCAAAGAAATAAAAATTATGAAAAACTTTAAAAATTTAAGCGCAGTACTATATTGGCAACGATGTCATATATATATATATATATATATATATATATATATATATATATTCATTTCTGTACTTCACTGCTACTTAGTAGCAGGAGTTTTATTTTTCTCCTGATGATGTCCATATTGGCTGAAACTAGTCGAGGAATCGAACTGAAATAATAAAAATATTATTTCACTTCGATTCCTCGACGAAATTCGCAATTTTACTTTCCTTCGTTCCATCTCTCTCCCCCACCTCGTCTTTCCCTCCCTCTTATTCTAACATTAAATTGTCTATGGTGTGTGTATGCCACCACGAAATGTATCTTTATGCATTAGACATCCGACAACATTCATTTTTCTCTTAATTAAACCCCTTCCACCCATCTCTCCTAAAATTCTCTCTGTTAAGGTTTAATCTCCCTCCTCCTCATATTTACACTCTCTCTAAATTCTGTTTTTATTTTCGGAGTTGTTTTGTCTGTTTTCTTTTTGAATTTGTAGGTCTGATGAATTGAATCGTATTTACGATTCCAATGGAATAAATTATGACCATGGAATATTAGTGTTTAAACCTTTTTATATATATATATATATATATATAAAGTATTCTAATCTGAACA